AGAAGTGTCTTCTGCGTGATTCAGACTGTAAAGGCAGAGGCACCAGCTAGGAGTTCTGGCGTTGCGGCATGTGTTTATGAGTGCAGTCGACTGTTCGGCAAAAGTGGAAATGGGCAAGCACATACCTTTGCCTCACTCCCGACGATGTGGAAAATCATTCTGAGAGAACGAAGTCAATCCGAATACGGGTACTTATCCCAATGTGTATGACGCGTAAAAGGTTCAGCAGTAGGTCAGAAGTGCCAATGCCCTTAAGTGCTTATGAAGGTGACGATCGATCCATTGAGTCAGAAGCTGACTTCAGATCCACGTCGGCCGATTGAATCCTGTTTGTATCTCAGATGACAACCTAAACTCCAAAACCGTGTCCATTGTCGAGTGGCTAGTGCTGAAATCGGACTGATACAGCAGGGAACATTTCATAAGAACGAGGTTCAACCTCGCCAGAAGGACAGGCACCGAGGTACACTCTTGTCAGACAGTGAAAGGAGTGATATTTGGTGGTACCTGTTGCATACAGTTTCTCACCCTTTACCTTTGCACAGGGAGATTATGATCGCATCCTTCCGTTCGCACGGTAAAGTGGTGTTCCATACCTTCAGGAAGATGAGGTTGAATCCTATACTGAATAGCACATTTCAAGAGCTCCACTACTACGAATTTAGGACTGGATGCACTGTCATTTTTGAATATGCGAATCGCTGCAGTAGCTTCAGCCAGCGTAGGTGGGGGATGCTATTTTTTGGAGCTCGGCTTTGAGGTCGCAGCAACGTCCATTAGTTCTCGACATGGCGCGGCTGCTGCATAATTCAGAACTGATTCCTAGTGTTCCAGAAATCAGGATAATATTCTGACAGCTGAAATGCACACAATCTTATCCAACGATCTGATTGGGTTCCACGTAGGCGTACCACTGTCCCTGAAATGACTTCGATCTCTCGAACCGCTGGCTTCCGGTTGTTGTGCCACATCGCGTGCCTTCCTTGGCCTCGTCTCCTATCTTGCTGTGATATGCTTCACGATCTGTTTTGGCCTTCGAGCTGAAGATGCCTGGTGAAAGTGGATCGCTGTTTCACTCGATCGACCTTTCTGCAGGTTTCAGGGTTCAATGGTAGGACTCAAACGCCTTGCCGAAGAGCCAGACCTGTTTTCTGTTACACCAAATGCCAACCAACTTGTTGTGAGCATGCGGAGATAGTCCCATATGTTCTCAACGTCATCGAAATACAGGGAGTCAAGAAGCGAAAGCGATTGCTGAGGTAGATAGTGTAAGCCTAGCTACTGGAGGAAGCTTGTGTGTAACTAGGAAGTAGACCTAGTCACAGACGGTAGATAGTCAGTGAAAGCAGGTGCTTCTGCTTTGCGGTCGACTCTGTTGCTCCTTGCAATACATCTTTCTGTGTAAAGGGAGATGTGGTGGATTTCCTTAACCATGTAATGGTGGCGTTGGAGCCAGTTCACGAGTCCATTGACGAGAGACCGACGGTGACAATGAGTTGTTACTTGATGTGTTTTTTGTCAAAATATAACTCAGAACTTTCGGGAGGAACTTTCGATGCCGCAATTGAGTAAACACATTAAAAATAATGATACCGGATTGAAACGGCGAAAACGCACAGTGTGAAGAAAGAAACATCTATTTCTCACTTTACACCAGCAGCTTTATTACACTGCCCCCTTACTTCTAGACTCCTCTGTATACGAAATGCCTCTGAATCAGAAATTCTCTGCCACTGACTCGATACGGGGTGTGTTCTTGCTGGCTTTGCCGTTGAAGTCACAGAGCATATGTAGTCTATCATGAGGGAAAACGACAACAGGGTAGATTCCACTTTCTGGTGGAAACAGCCCTTCTAATCAGAAGTAGCTTCTTCTGATGATGTGGAGACAACGACAATGGAGAGCCAACTGTGGCGATAACAAGCATGCGCCTACAGTATCCAGTCTAAAATTGGCTGCCATCTGATCAGAAACTACTTCATGACGATCGCCACTCCATTCTCATAACTCTATCGCTCAGAGTGTTGAAATAAGCGTAGCGTACTGCTATTCT